TACACGCAGTGATGTGCCAGAGCGCATGGAGTGGGAAGTTCCACTACATGTAGTGGACTCCTGCACCCATTGCCTGGATGTTGCTGGAAATCACCAGAGTTTAGGACGTTCAGAGATTTCTGATTCCTGTTGACATAGGGTTGATATGTCTCCAGGTATTTTGTTATTAAAAAATATATTCACAGAAGGTAATCTTCCAAATATTTAGCAGGAGTTAATAAATAGATATTGTCAGTCTGTTTTTTTATCTGTATAGTATAAATTACATATAGTAAACATGTATCATCCTTGTTTATTATTTACATTAATGATATTAATAAATTTATTATTCATCCTTTGCATAAATTAGCTATTATATTGACTTCCAATGGTTGTTTGCATGTATATTGATAATTTAGTTGCCAAATAGAATTATATATCCAGTGTGTGTATGGGGTGGGGGAGGGGGACAACAAAATGTATATAGATTGATCTGTATACTTTATGTATAACTAAACATAAAAAGGGATAGAATAAAATAATATCTCACATTTCATTTTTGCTCCAGATTACACCACCAGAATGATGTCCCAGATCCCCAACGCTTCCCTCTGTTACGTGGGCAAGCATCAAAACTTTCAGTCAAGTGTGTCATCTGTTCTTTAAACTTAGCTAAGTAAGTGATATACTCTTAACATCAGTGTATTTTTATACTGCTGACAATATTGGTGTAAGAATGTGCAAAGATTAAGTTTAGAAAATCTTATGTAAAATAGAGACATAAACAGGTTATTATTTTCATTGATAAATCATCAGCCCCTAAAGCAAATTTTTTTCATGTGATTGTTGGGGTTAATAATGATTATTGTATAGCTGAATAATGATATGAATCTCGTGAATCAGGGTATACATTACATAGTTTTTAGTTATGTTAAAAAAAAAGTTACAGTTTTACCTTTGTGAAAATGCTCTTTGAAACCCAACTTAATTTGCTTAGATGCATATTAATATTTGTAATATCCCTAATGCAAGTGCAAACTTTCTTAAGTATTTTTTCCCTTATTTAATGATCGCCAAGCACTAACAGCATACCTTGAAAGGGAGACATCAATTATTATCTTTGCTTTTCAGCTGGATCGTGTTGGATGAACCCCGCCTGCCCATAGCAGTGTCCCACGTGTGCCATCGCTGCCTCAAGATGTTCTGTTATAACCATAAGGGTGAAAAGATAAATGATTTCAAAGTCTATCCCTTCTTCGATGAATTTCTCTCACAGCAAAAGAAGCCCCATACCACTTGATTTTTTTTCTTTTTTCTTTCTTTCTTTATATTTTTCTTTATTCATATTTTGATGATAGTAATTATTTTTTTGTACTCATACATATTTGAAAGAATGGTCCAAGATTTCAAGATATGATTAATATTAATTTTAGGGTTTCTTAATCTTGCAACTGCAATGTCATAAAACAGAGACCATCAAGGTATGTCTACAACATATGATGAGAGAGATTTATTTTGAATCAAGCATGTTACATATTGCCTCCATATGAAACAGAAGCAGACAGCAGATGATTCAATAAGGAAAGAAGTGAAGAGAAAGTAATAATGGGATTATAGTTACTACCCTTTGACATGCAGTTAGCGGGCCCTCCGCCATCTGGTGTTGTTAGGGAAGCATTCTTTTCTCCAAAGATGTGTTTCACTCTTGTGCCAGTGTCTATTATTTGTTGTGAATGCTTTGAAGAAAGAATATTCAAAATGAAGCAAGGTTACCTTATTTTTTCTTAAAGATGGAATAATTTTGTTGATGATGTTTTAAGATTTAGTATAAAGCTACAAATATGTGTTATCAAATTTAATATCCATTAACAGTTTCTTTATTCCCTCATTGTGACATGTAAGTTTTTTCATACTCAGTATTTGTTTCAAATAAAATAGAAAAGATTATAAAACCAAATTTTCTTTTTTGTCTTGTAGTAAGAGTACCTCTTAATATAGCACCAGTATTTATATCTATTGAAGATATTTAATAGATAATAGAGCTTAGTTATCATACATCATATATCATTGTTATACCCACAAATTTGTTTTCAAATCTCACTCTAAATGAAGTTTTACATTAGCCCGTTCTATACTGTGATGCTGGTCTGGGGTCATGAAGCGGCAGTGGAATATACTGTGATGCCAACATTGGAGTCATAATTCCATTTTATTTTAGTTGCTGCTGAGTGATCCCCATATTCTGTTCTGGATCTATTTTTTAGACTCTGTATATTTGCCCTAGAAATTTTATAGCTCCACCCACAGTCCCTCTTCCCACCAATCATGAATCAGCTAGACTATGCCCCATCCTCTACCCAAAATGAGAAACTATCATTTGCAGAGTCTACATCACAGATTCCCCCTCTGTGGTCTTACCCTTGTCCTCCATATCTCCCTATCCTTTACTTCACCCCTTACCCCTTCATTAAGGATGGGAGAGAGAGAGTTTACTTTAGTTTATCATGAAATGAACTTGAAGCTACATCAAATCTTTCCTCTCAACTTTCTGTGTGTGTGTGTGTGTGTGTGAGAGGAAGAAACTGTATTTGATAAGAGACTCTCAGGATGACACATCTAAAGTTACACATTCAAAGTTACCGCTCACAGGCAAGCGCCTTATTAATGAAAAGGTAGTGGTATAAAAAGTTGCTCCATGAAGGCTAAAACTTTTTAAAGATAAAGTTTAGCACAGTGAAAAAGACAGTTTACAAGAATCATATCTCCTGAGATACTTCATTTTTGCCAAAGTTTTTATTTGATTTGACAAGGAATAAAGCCATTAATTTTATTATTATTTAGAGTAGCAGTTGGCAATTAAAAGTGAATTACCTTAATTTTGGTAATTCCAGATTTTTGAAAGGTAATGAGACTTGTCCAGCTTATAATAGTATAAAATATAGATCCTTATCCCTTGGCTAGTAATCAACATTTTTTCCCAAAAAATTGCAGTATGTCGTTTTTTTCTTTGTTTGCAGTTACAGGATATGAAATTACCAGTTAAAGGAAAAAAGAAAGATGCAAACCTTCCCACCTAAAGATATCTGAGAGGGAAAGAAAACTGTACGGAATCCAGATGAATTTATGTTTTATGATTATACTACTTCTAGATCAAGACATTGAAACTGGTGTGACTTAATTGATAAGATGAAATATAATAATGACATACTGAATAGGATGAAGCAAAAATGTATTCAGTACTGTGGAATAATTTCTTATCTTTGAAACATTTGCAAACATTGAATATTAAAATTATAAAAAATGTAAAGTAGAATATATCATTAATGATGATCGAATTAGATAGCATATAATATATTGTGATATGGATATATATGACAATGATTATATATTGATTTGTTATATTACACTTGATATATACTGTAGGATATGTAAAGTACCAGTTCACAGACATATAACAATAAATACATAAAACATATTAATACATACATACATTTTCTAACTGTTGACTGTAGGCTGTAGGAACCAGCACAGCTCTGTGTACTCTGAACTTTTGGTCATGCAAGGCTAGACTATGAGAAGAGTGATATATATATATATATATATATATATATATATATATATATATATATATATATATATATATATATATATATATATATATATATGTATATATATATATATATATATAAATATATATATATATATATATATATATATATATATATATATATATATATATAAATATATATATATATATATATATATATATATATATATATATATATATATATATATATATATACATATATATATATATATATATATATATATATATATATATATATATATATATATATATATATATATACATATATATACATATATATATATATATATATATATATATATATATATATATATATATATATATATATATATTTATATATATTTCATTTCACTATTGAGAGGTTATTTGGCAGTACCACCCTTACCTGACTGGATGCCCTTCCTAATGAAACATGGTTCGGCACGGTAACACTTTTGCCACGGCAAAACACCTGCGTTTGATTTCTCATATATATATATATAATTGTCATTCAAAACCGGAAATAATCAATCACTGATTGAAGCTAAAGCTGGACCATAGTGAAGATCTAATCATTCTGCCCAAGGTAAGACTCCCCATGGGCCTTCTTCACCCTGGGTATCTAGAGGAGACACCCTGGTGGGTAGGATCATCTTTAGGGAGGCAACCCAAGTGTCCGTATATCCTGAGTTAGTAGTTATGGATTGTGCAAACTATTCTGCACGATATGATGGAAGGACCAGATGCACAGTGCATCAAAGCGAGATTCAATGAACAGGATAGCTTCCAAGTTTCACTTCCATAAAGCAAGTCTGGCAGTATCAGTGCCAAAAAGGCATGTAGCTTGGTCCTTCTGCATAGGCACCAGCATCTCCAAATACTCTGGTCAGGAATGTTTATGGCATTTGCTTCCAGGCCAATCCATCTATTGACTTCCTATTCTGACAGTCTAGAACCATGGACTACACTGCCAAGATACGTAAAATTCTGTGTGACTTCGATATCCAGCACATACCAACTGGAGAGGTTCTATCAGACCATCAAAGTTCTAGTTCTTGGTCTTGGGGCAAGAGAACTCTAAACCCAAGAGCATCGCCTTATTGCTAAATGCATTGAGTGCCACCGCCAGGGTCACCAAAGACTCGGATAGGGTGGCAACATAGTCATCAATGTCAAGTTTGGTGGTCTTGATATTGACTAGTGCTGCTCCACATTGATTTTGGATGGTATCTCTAAGTGTCACCTAGTCTATGCAAGTGTTTGAAAAGCGTTGATGCAAGAGCATGGCCCTGCTAGGCAAGCCCCTACCACATTTTATAATACGTTCATTACCAGTATAAAGGCTTGCTATTAGTTCAATAAACTTTGCTGGAATTCCCCTAATTGTAATGATCTCCCAGAGTAACTTGCGATGTACCGAATCAAAGGCCTTGTA